ATATATATATATATATATATATTTATATATATGCATATATATATATATATGTATTTATATATGTATATATACATATATATATATATATATATATATATATATATATATATATATATATATATATATATATATATATATATATATATATATATATATATATATATATATGTATATATATATATATATATATATATATATATATATATATATATATATATATATATATATATTATATATATATACATATATAGCATTATTAAATTCAATCAGAATAAATAAATCAATAAAGAAAAAATTTTCTATCGTTTTGTGTTTCGTTACTCACAAGAGATGCTTCTTTATCATGGCGTTTTTAAGGTAACTGCTTTTTATTAAGTCTTTAAGAAAACCTTTTAATAGATATCAATATTTTTTGTACAAGGTCCAAGAACGTTAGATGGCTCTGAAACATATTTTGCTATACACAAAAAAATATATATCTAAATAATTCTAAAATGCAGTTGACGCATAAAAATAAATAATTTTGTAAAAACATTTGTTAATACTTTATATTTAGATCTGGTAGTGGGTAAACTTTAATAACAAAGTCATTTTGCTTGCATAAAAAAATTAAATAAAAAAATGGCATTAGGAAAACTTGTTCGATTTAGAAAACTAAACATAAAAAAAGGACAATAAAAAAAAAACACATACATTTGACTTTTATTGTTGAACATTATAAGTATATATATATATATATATATATATATATATATATATATATATATATATATATATATATATATATATATATATATATATATATATATATATATATATATATATATATATATTATTGAAGTTAGAGAGTTTTTTTAATTTTTTCTAAAATTTATGACTGGTTTAAGTAGTATTAATTAAATCTTGAAATACAACAAAAATGCACCTAGCAAAAATACACCTACAGCATATGCTTTATAACTGCTATAACTTACATTTATAACTTAAAACAGTTACAGTTTTAACTTAATGTTCATAAACATATACATTTAATAATCTCAATGGGCACACGGACTTCCATAGTAAGTCCAAGGACGTCTAAAAGGTCCGTGGACGTGCACTGGACGTACCAAATGCAACAACTTACATCCGTCCATTTTTGACCTATAAAGTATGTCCAAGGACGTCCAAAACAGTCCAATCTGAGGTCCACAATAGACGCTTTTGGACGTCTAAACTTTGTCCGTTCATTCAGCGTTTAATTTTATTCAGCTTATTTTCATACCGACTCCATTTCTACCCAAGTAGCAAACAATATTGGCGCAATATTGACGCGATATTGGGTATCTTGGCGAATCTTGGCCTAGATATCCGATATTGCGCCAATATTGTCAAGCAATATTACGCCAATATTGCCTTCCAATATTGGCAAATAACATTGCGCCAATATTATTAATTATTGTTTTACTAATGACCGTTTTACTTAAGACGAAAAATTCGCGCAAAGCGAATTTTTTCGCCGATAAGCATGCGCAGATTAAACATTTTTGGCAATTATGCTAATTTTTTTTCGCTACTGCATTTTGCTGCAGCAAAATTTGAGCGCGTTAATATACGTATTAAAACGATAACACTTCTGTTTGGAAACTATGTAAACCATTTTTCTCCATTTAATCGGGTAATTCAGATGGACGTATTACCTTGGATGAAGGCGGAGAAATTATTTCAGATAAATGTTTATTGTCGAGTATGTTTAACGAATTTTTCATAAACGTCGCTGCGTCATCAAGTACCGGTAATTTTTCTTGTAGTTCAATGGTCGATGTTGAATTGCTCGTTGCTAAATTTAATAACCATCCAAGTGTCAAAAATATTAAGGATAACTATCCCAGGTCTGGTGAATGTTTTAAATTTCACCCAATCTCAACAGATGACATTTCAAAAATAGTTGGTTTAATGAATTGTAAGAAAAAGACTGGTGGTGATTTTCCGACGTTTATGCTAAAATCATATTTCATGTACTTTGGTGATAGTCTAAGATACTTCATAAATAATATTATATCTAATGGCATATTCACGTCATTTTTGAAAATGGCTGATGTTACACCCTGTTTTAAAAAAGACGATCCAACAAAATAATCAAACTACCGTCCTATATGTATACTTCCTGCTCTGTCAAAAATTTTTGAATTAATTTTACACCAACATATTCTGCTATTTATTGAACCTAAATTGGATTCCCGGCTGTGTGGTTTTCGAAAAAAGTATAGCACTCAGCATGCACTTTTCAGTTTACTCCGGAAATGGCAGAAATGTATAGACAACGGAAATATTGTCGGTTCATTACTTATTAATCTTTCTAAGGCATATGACTTCATTCCTAATGATTTAGTGATAGCTAAGTAAGAAGCATATGGCTTTTTTAATAAAAGTATCAAGCTATTGCATAGTTATCTGAGTGGACGCAAAACAAAGAGTGGTGATCTATGTTTTCAGATTGGTCAGATTTCTTCAGGAGTACCCCAAGGATCTATTCTGTGCCCAATTTTCTTTAATATTTTTTTAAACAATGTGTTTTTATTTTTAAAGATACTGAACTTTGCAATTTTGCTGATGACAACACTCCATATGTTTGTGAGAACAGTGTAGAAAGAGTACTTTCTAGTTTGCCAGAGGAAATTAATAATAACATTGTTTGGTTTAAGGTAAATTCCATGATTATAAATCTAGACAAATTCCTACTACTTTTAGTTGGTATAGTAAACTATAAAAGTTATTTTATTTATCTAACAATAGGAAACATAAAGATATTTTCCTCTGACAAGCTACTTGGGGTTACTATAGATAAGGATTTAAAGTTTGGTGAACATATAAAGTTGTTATGTAGTTAAGCTAAAAAAAAAATGTTTTGCTCTTGGTCGCATAAGAAATTTAACACTTAAAAACGTCATACTATTATTCAACGCTTTTATTTTTTCTAATTTCTCATACTGCCCAATAATTTGGATGTTTTGTTTTAAACATGACAACATGCTTATTAATAAAGTTCATAAAAAAGCTCTGTGCATATAATTTAGATCCACCATTTATGAAAAATCTGTTTACACGAAAAAATCAACCCTATCAACTTCGAAGCTGCAAAAAAATGTTGCTGCCCCCCAAAGGCTCTAAGTACAAAGGTACTAACAATGTTTTGTATAAAGCCACCTTGCTGTGGAGCTCACAAAATAATGATACTATGTCTTGTATCAGTCTAGTGTGTTTCAAAAAACTTATAAAAAAATGGCAAGGAAATAATTGCTTTTGTAAAATTTGTTGCAACTAATTTTTTTAATTTTTTTTTTTTTTTTTCTTTATTTTATTGTTTATTTCCTTTGTGTAATTTTTATTAAAAATACAAACATTGTAATTCTAATTTTGTGTAGGCAGGTAATTATTTTTAATTTACATGCCTTTTTTAACTATTAGTTTATTTAATAATGATATTTGATTTGGTGTGTGCTGTCCATAAAGTTATTTGTGTTGATTTGTTGAAACTATTATAACTTATCAACGTTAATTAAGTTTTTAAAATAAATAATAAAATTAACCTGGCGTTCTTTTTAATTTTATATGAACTTACTCTGAAAACTGGCAAGCATGAGTAAATTCATCAAACAAGGAGCAACACTTATATTAAAAAATGACCAGATTTATATATAAAACTAAATCTAGAATTCATAAATTTAAATTTTCACACTGTCACTTACAAAAGTTACACTTCATAAGAATGTTTATCTTAAAGTGGCCGCACTAAGGTAAACCTTTTCATGAAAAACCCTACATAGAATTAAATCTGCTGTTCGTTCTTGCAGTAACAGTTTTTTAATAAAAATGTTCATATCAGAGTTTAACATTTTTTTCTTATACTTTCTTGTAAAAAAACCCTTATATTAAATGATTATATAACAAAATGATATTACATCTTGCAGAAATGTTAACATTAATGCACGGAACGAAATT